TTGCTAATGTAAAAACATGAAGCGAGAACTTCTATAGATAAAAACTTTAATAATGACGAACAAAAATAAACTTTAGACCTTTGCACGAATAACAAAAATCGAAAAAAATTTTGACTAGATATTTATACAGTACAATAAATTTCCATCTATGTTTTAATCAGACCAATTTGACTAGCACGAAACGACACAAATTTACAATTTCACGAACACCGACGCCACATTCAAACTTCAATTTTAGAGACGACTTTGGCACAATTCGAGTAAAAAATCACTTATCACGTACGGAAATACTGAAGGGGAAGACATTAGGGAGAAATATGTTTCGAGGGATATGTATTAAAAATGTTAGCCTAAATTGTACAGTTCTTAGAGCTAAGGTGCAAATAATGTGGTTTAAAATAACCTTTATAATAGTTATCCTAATATTTATTAATACGAAACCATCCGAATTACGGTACCACGTCATTTGCCATGGATTTGTATTTCAACTAACCATCGATTTGGCACAATTGTTTGTCAAGTGGCACTAAGTCACCGTGACGACCTCAAGTCATCGGGAATCGAGCGTGGTCTTATGCTTAAAATATGTCTATCCTAATATTTTTTTTGTTTTTTATTTTTATTTATTTGAGAAATATATCGCTTACCGCTGAACTATCTACATTGTCCACCTAATAATATAATGAGCAGTCTGGAGAGGGTAATCAAATCAATGGAAATAAGTAATTCTATAAAATATATAAACCCCTAGTCGTCATCTACTCTCAAGAATAATTTAGTATTTTGCACAACATTTATAATGTTAAAAAAACTTCAACAATCTTTGGCTTTGATCCCTAAACCAATATTAAGTACTCGTTCGTCCCTTTGATTAATTAGCTATTTTCAGCCGATCACGTGTTGATGAGAGATCTTTATATAATAACGATAAGAAGACTATCACATTTAGCAACATAATTTTTACATAATCTAATGTCTTTTGTGATTATATACCATTAAAATGATAATAATATGTTTTATGTCTTCTCTGTCTCCCCGTTAACTGTAAGTTTCTTAAAGGATTTGATCCCACCGGTTGCTAACTGCGCAGCTCTGAGGCAGCGCAGCCGTCAGACATGTTACGTTCTGGCCAAAATCGTATTCGCTCGAACGGCTCACATATAACTATAGTCCATTGGATTTTGTACAAGGATTAGAGCTTAACGAAATCTTCTAACACGACGAGTGACCAGATCGTAAGAATGTTGAGTAATACCTAATTTTGTAGGTTATTACGATTATTTATATACAAATATTGTCTTTAACCCTCTCACTCTGTTCGCTAATCTAAGACTACGCTACATCAGCGGGTCCGAGGTCGAATTCAACGCATCTATCTCTACGCCGACTCTCGTTATATAAATCATTTGAACATTATGTTTACGATCTGCCTGTACCGACCGTTACAAAATAAATCCAGCCGTAACTGAACCGCTTGATCGCTTACATCCATAATAAATTCGATCAATTTAGCTATCCTGATGTTGCGTTGCGCGAGCGGCGATCGAGTACCGATCGTTCGCCGTTCGCGGCGGTTGGTCGTCAGTCATTCAAAATTTTTCTCACAATAAATTTCAAAATCTAATCATCTCTCTCGATAATCGACTCTATGACCGACACGTCGCCCTCCAATTAATTAAATAGTGGAGAATAAATATAAGAATATCTAAAATACTTATAAACTTGTAACAAATGTAAACATACATTCAGCTATTTGCCAATTGCTTCCCCTCAGAGATTTGGTCGCGTCACTTGAAGTAATACATCGGAGGCAGGGGCCCTCGCTGCTGTTGCACGTAGTAGTTGTTGTAGAGCTTGTACGCAGCGCTGGGGGCCTGCCCGCGTAGCCCCATTCAATGGATCGGCGCTTTCACGATGTGGTTCGGGGCGATGTAGTGGTACCCGGGCAACGGCAGACCGGCCGTCTCCATCGTGATTCTGAAACGTCGCAACGAAACCATCTTAAATACTCATATTATACAAGTACCTATCATATATTCATATAAAAACAAATTAATCAAACCGGATGGATCAATCTGGTGAGGAGAATCGAATCGGTTTTATTTGTAAGTGAAAAAAAGAATTAGCGTGAACAATTAAATGGATAGTTCTAGGACGCAAATAAAATGTAAAGGAGTCGTCTTACCGGGAATTGGGTGATCCGTGAGCTGTAGGATGGTGGGTTCTCGGTGAACCAAAATTCAGCGTTTCAGATAACACGGGAAGTGTTTGCCTTAGGAGGCAGGATATGGCTTGGATCTTGAAGGAGATCTTAACTCTTAATACATACAATTACAATAACCTGCACTCAACGATTAAACGCATTAGTGAACTCGTGTCGGGGAATAAAAGAAAACGTCTATACTTATCATTTTATTAAGTATGTACTTAAAACAAACTTTTCTTAACTTTACTAGCGAGTAATACGATTCCCTGAAAATGTATGAAAACGTTTATTACCTTAAAAAATAACATGATTTTAGTACAACTTAAATTACACTAGCAGGCCAATAATCTGCTACTCCATTTGAAACTACGTCTAGTATTAAACAAGTTCGAATTGGACCTCGATTTTGTTAGAGCTAAGTCTAACTTGTCGAATGATGTGAAGGCAGTGACGTCAACACCATCTAGCGCTACAAATCTAAAGCAAAATATACGACCCCATGCCTTCACCTCATCAGAGTACAAAACATTCCGTACTAACGCTAAGAATTTGCCTTATTACGATAAAAATTGAATGAGCTCAATTATTGTGCAAACACACGATAAAATCGAATAAACTATTTATTGAGTTGATTTAAGAATTAAGGTTTGAAACATTAAGAGACTCCGATTTTCAACAACGAATACAGTATTTCGTAATAATAGAAAAAGCGATATAAACGTCACATTTTGACGACTATTAGAGATAAAAATCCCGCTCGTTCTATTGAAGAGAAAATTCATACCTTATCATAAATATCACTTGACTAAACACATTTTTTAAAATATTCAGAGTCAACATGTATCTTTAGTCATCAAACCATACTTCGCTAAAATATTTTGATTTTAATAATACGTTTAGGTTATATTCAAATGCAAGAAAACAAATATTCGCTTCAAATTATGATAATTAACAAGTACATATATATAAGAATAATTTCATACATCATACCACCAACAAAGTGAGTTTGATTCTCAAAGACAAATTAATCTACGACTGTAATATCAAGTGACTATTGTGTGAACAGCTGTTAATAGTGCCTTGGAAATAACTTTCAAAAAAAATAAAAAGGTGCATAAACGACGAAGTTATGCGCGAATATAATAAAAAAGAAGCATATATATTTGAATAAATACATTAACGGTTTAAAATGCAATATATTTTAGTTAAACTTGTTTGAAAAAATATTTTAAACTACGGCCCGACGTTTTATATGCTTTGCAGCAGCCGTGGTCACGGGAAGACTAAAGATGGAGGATGTCTCTGACGTCAAAGTAAAAAATCTGCTACACTAGCGCCATCAATTCCGTCTAAGTTGTTATTTGGCGAAACTGATCTTTGCAGAATTGACTGAAAATATATCGCGTTTCAAACCGTTAAAGTGTTTTATTTAATGTGTACTACTCGCGTACTACAAACAGTATTTAGTATTTTTGACGTCATTTACAAACTTATTAATTTAAAATAGAAGGGGTTGTACGATTTATATATTGAAGTATAGCTTGATGTCTTATCACCCTGTATTCGGCTTCATAGACTCAAAACGAGTTAAGAACACGCAGGTTCGAGATTACTTTCTTAATCGGCGATTAAATTGTACATAGCATATATTTTGGTTAAAGATTTAGACTGTTTGTGTTCTCGAACCGGTTTGTTCTTAACTAAGCGCGTGTAACGTGTAATGCATTTGTAAATTTGTTCCTACACAGAACTATTGGCTATGGCTGCATTAGTGCAGACTATTGCCACATCGTCGCAGACGCACCCAGAAACTTTTTAATGATTTTTAAAATTTCTGAGTTCGACATTTACAAACGCCAAGCGCTCTCTATACTTTACAGGCTATAAGCTTTCCTTATGAATATTTCTACTATTGTCGCAATCCCTAGTTATTGTTAATAAATTTAATTTCGAAATGGGTACAGAAAAAACTTATGCTTTGTAAAAAAAACATTAGCCGTCTAATTCTATTGCTATTATAGTGTCTGTCTAATTCTACGAGAGAAATAAACCTAACGATAAAGGTTTCTAAAGAACATTTTGATAAAAATGATGATCATAACTTTTTAATGCCTGTTAGAATTTAACAAGGGGTTTGTTGTTTTTAACAGATATTTTCATTTCGATCTGGAATAAGTCTTTACACTTAAAAACTAAAATATAAAACAAACATCGGTCCGATCGGACACATGAGACTTCCCGACATCTTTGGATGAGCTCAGTTCAAAGTTGACATCGCGGTAGTGCGAGAACGAAATCTGTCAATGACTTCCGTCGCCTGACGTGAATTTCATATGAAATACGAAAATACTCTAGTAATTTTATTTTATGAGCACTACGTACTTTTCCCTGTAGTGTTCGTGAAATAATTATTTACAAGTCCTCCTTTGAAAATTAAGCTGGCTAAATTGCTAGGGGCATTAGTAGGGAGCATATCGTTTTCGTTCTTTTGATGTGTTTGAGAGCTCGTCGTCCTTGCGCCGCGAATACTTGTCCTCGGCGGTTTTCAGGGGCGGTCTAATCAGATTATTACAAATTAATTTCTATTATTAGAAAAAAAATTCAACGATATATTTTCACGGGCGCTGCGTGATATCGTGTAAATATTTCGAATTGGCCACACGAGATATAAACTTTAAGGAACTAAAGATTTTGATATTACTCAGAGAAACCTAGTGTAATGCTCAAATGGGCCAGCGTAACTTAGAAGTTTTCGGCCGAATCCGCGATGCAAAGTGCGATGTCTATCAGTCGTTTAATAGGGGCTGTATTTGTTTCGTTCTTTGGAGGTTTTGGATGGTTCGTCGTCCTGGCGGCGGTTGAATTTGTGCGAGCGGTTAACGCCGGTGGTCTGCACCGGCGCGGGCGGCGCACCGGTGAGCAGGTCCGTGAGACCGCCGAGCGCGGTCAGCGAGCTGAGCGCGCCGAGCGCCCCGCTCTTGTTGAGCAGTTGGGCGAGTGGAATGGCGGACGCGAGCGGGCTAGTCGACCCGCTCGAACTCGACCCACCCTCCAGATTCGCCTTCTGCAGCTCCACACTGCGGGAGCGGGAGAGGACATCGTGAGGGTCTTATGCGGGACGCTTCGAATCTAGCTAATGACGCGATCCGACACGAGACGGCGGTGCTATAGTGCGAGCGATTATAAAGCGAACAAGTGCACGACTTACGTGTAATTCATATTTAGAGTAATGAATATCTACTACACTCGAAGGTGACAGTGACAAAAATATGATCTATAAAACATTTGCACCCAATGGATGAATTTAGTCATTAAAATGCGATAAAAATATACGCAAATTAAAATTAGTAGAATTAAACATATATCAAAAGCATCCAAATGCGGATACAACACCTAATTTCATCTCGGATCGGGTTTTGAACTTCTTAACGGCACAAAGAATACTTCGAAACGCCCCATTAAAGGTATCAGATAAATTAAAGGAAAATCGTAGGATGATTAAACGAACCGATTCATAAAGGTGGACTAGGCATTTTCAAAATGGAAGTGATTAGGTAATAATTTCATTGTATGGACTTCTGGATGGAAATAATTCCAGGTTATAGTAAGAATAAAGAGCTAGGACATACCTCATGTTGATTAGATACTGCGCGAGCGCAACTGAATCTGGGTTGCCAGTGATGGTGATGGTGCGGTCAGTGCTTCCACCTTCGCGCTCTTCGCAGTTCGATATCCTGATCATGGCGCCGGAAATCTGACGGATTTCAGCGATTTTGGTGCCTCCCTGAAATGAATATTGTAACCGTTTTAGGTATTATTCTAAAGATACAATGGGGATTCAGGTTTTGTACTAAAAATTTACATGAATCCCGGGGGGGCGCTGTGAGGGGGAAAACGCTGTGAGAAAATTGGCGGCCAAAAATCCGAAGACAACTGCCAACTTGCATTTGGCGTGATAAATTGTAACCTTTTACCAAAACCTTGTCCTCGGTCCTATTTTCAGATAGTATTAAAGGACGACCAAACATAATAAAATGTTTTTGAAGTAAGTAGAATAAAAATAATGAACTTGTCTTAATAATACTAACCTTTCCAATGATGCAGCCGATAAGCTCGTTTGGCACGGTCATCTCGTGTGACTGTTGGTTAGATGCTGGCTGATTGCGGCCCTGGTTTGAAGTGCGTAACTGGGAACCGGCGAGCGCTGCTAACGCTAGGAATTAATCATATAACGTTATTATTACATTACCGGAAACCTTTTACTTTGAATATTTTTGAAACTAGGTTACTGAAAATTTGTAAGCTGTGTCAAGTGAGTAGGTTTCCCAAAATTCGGCTGTTAATTTTAATTTATCAGTATGAACCAATTTAAGTTCGACATATACAACACGAAGCGCTCTCTACACTTTACAGTCTACAAGTTTTCCTTATGAATATTGTCACAATCCCTAATTGTGGTTAATAACATACATACGGCATATACATATGAAAATAAGTATAAAATGATTTCTGTAAATATTTTACCTGCTGGATTTAATCCCCCAGCATTTCCTGGTGCAAGACCACCGAGTCCTAGTGCCGCTAGTCCAGCTAGTGGCGACTTGCCCAAACCGCCCATCTATAAATGGTAATGTAATAAATAAGTTTCACCATACAGATACAGATAAACGTTACAACTTCACAGATATGTAGATCATACAAGGATAATTCCTTTTAGCCATGTTGTTGACAGTTACCGACAAGACTAAATTAAACGACATTTATGAATAAATATAATTTATTATTCAACGAGCTCCAGCTGCTTGTTTTCATCTCTTCTGACATAGCCGGGATGGGATCGCTGGATAGGATAACCTAGGTAGAAACGACAACATATAACAACATTTCATTACTAAGTGTACATCCTGTATCCTTAAATCAGACGGCATTCATACGAGATTTATCGCGTCCAAATTAAATATACATATGGAAAGGTTCGAGACAGGCGGACAATTGGATAAGTAGGATTCCCGATTTCATTGACTTTATTGCCAACCACGTTGTGAGTAAAGTAGTGCTGCCCTCTAGTAAGCACCAACAATAGGATAATGGCATTTATGACTAATGACGTAAATTAAAAATTTGCATAGCACTCATGCCTCCGATGTCGCAGTTAACCTTTTAGAACAAAGAGGAAGACTGGGTAAAGGCCGAGGGACAGGTGCAGTACGGGAATATCGACAATTATGATGGTTATATAACCACAGCGCGCGTGAACTTTAAAAGCGTTTATCACGGCGATGCCAGAAAACAAACAGATAAAGCTTACTGTGAATATAGTTTGTATAATAGTAATAAATGTCTAATGATGTTTTCATTGTGCTGAAAAGAATAAAGCTCTATGGGATGGTACTAAATACTAGGGGGATGTATCGTGCAGTATATTCTAAGGATAACATTCCTTAAAGCTTAAAATCGAAGCAAAATATATTATTATAATGGGCTCTATCACCGGGAAGTCTAATACTATTTAGTTACGGGGCCAATACTACGGGGGTCTTGGTACCAAATGTCCATTTTGTGGGTAACCAGGGCAGCACCAATCAAATTGTCACTCAAAGTACTACACAACCTCATAGATCCTTTTACAAAATTAACACCCATTACAAGCGACTGAGGTGGGGGTTTTGTGTTTGAATAAAGACATTCTAAATTCAAATATTCGAGATTCGAAAAAATAAATCTATCAACCGGTTACTTCGTTTAATTATTATCTTCCTGAATCTGAGCGTCAAGTTAATTTCAAACAATTTATTTGCATCTACAACACTTGCTAGATTATTATAGTCCGTTGCGTTATAAAATTATGTTTAAATTTATCAAAAGGCAATAAGTTCTCTAGAGAATACAAAATGGAAGATTTTGTTTGGCTTGGTTAGGTACATAGTATATTGCGAACATAACACCCATTTACTAGGTTATCTAGGTACCCAGCAAGTGCCATAGAAGATCTAGACACGGTTCATAGAGTGACGTGTGGTTAGAGATGCGAGGTATGGGTCGCGGGGCGGGGGCGGAGTGCGGGTCTATGAGGTCGCGGTGACTCACAAGGTGGTCGTGTAGCGGCGGCGGCAGCAAGTGGTGAGGCGGCAGCGCGCCCGCGAGGGGCGGCTTCATCTCCAGCAGTGGGAACACCGGGGCGCACACCGCCTGACAACGCCCACACTCACTCAGATCGCACACAGACAAGCGTTTACTATTATACCAATAATGTCGGAGCCAGTAAAATAGGTAATTCTAAGTGTATTTCCTCAAAACAATACATAAACGAGACCTTTTTCTGCACCGAACACGATAACATTTTAAATACATATGAAAATCATACACAGTTCCGAGATATATCTTTTCAAGTCTCAGATAGATCGATCTTTTCAAATAAACTCTATCCCCTAGGTATCAAAAAAAATGATTTCCATTTCATAATGGACATTGTTAATTGTTTTGCGAAATACCTATAAGTTTACATTTAAGTCATTCAAGTAATGACAATATAATGCGTAGATGAAAAAATACTGCGCAACCTAAGCCGTTGTACAATGTCACATATATAAATCATAAACTAATTGATGTATTTAAGTAATTATTTCGTTTAACTTAGGGTTCAAAATTAGTTAACATTTAAGTGTACATACAGAATATCAAACAAGAGAAGCATTTGCTATATAAGCTTTATATATTGGGAGAAGAGATTTTGAGTAAACTTACAGTTTAAACAATCAATTTTTAAATTGGTATTGTAATACTTACATCTTGGGCGGGAACAGCATAATTTCCCTGTATGGTATAAGCTTGTCCTCCAGCTAATATAACTGGTCCGGCAACTGTTGGTTTTGGTCTATATGGAATCGTTGCACCCTTTGGTGGACTCTGGAAAACAGTTTTTATTTACACAACAGTTTGAATTTATTTTGTAGTAGATTTTCCTACAAATACAAAATCTATAGATTAAAAATACTTGTGATAAATTACACAAAAATAACTAAAATTAAACCTTATACAATGAATTTAAGAGACCAAATTAAAATGACGAAAGGCGTCTTAAGAAGACTAAAATGAGTCAAGATCATTTTATAATTTTATTGTACTGGAAATGTAAATTTCAGTTATGGGAACTTTCAACTGCAATTTTTTTAGTGAATGCTTATATTAATATTGCATATCGCGCGTGGTTTTTATGACACACCAGAAAGTTACACTATGTGAGCAAGAGAAAAAGAAATAAAATACTGCTAATGAAACGGTTATGTGAATCGTAGTGATATATCACTACTGTTGTGTTTATTTCTTTTTACTTTATGTTAATTACCTCTAACATGACACAACAAATGTGATAGATACACTGTGTTATCGCATCACACGTGCCACTGATCGTAACTGCCCTTTCTGTTGAGTTGGGAAGCATTTCACTTGCAACCTGAAAGTGAACAAGGTTTTATAAAAATGAGGAATTGAATTCAATAAACACATTTAAATAAAACACTTAAACGGTTTAAAACACGATATACATAAATACTGTCTATAGTTTACGCGAGTAGTATACATTTAAATAAAACACTTTAACGGTTTAGAACGCGATATATTAGTTAAACTTATTTGCAAATGATTTTTAACTTCGGCCCGACGTTTCGGATGCTTTGCAGCAGCAGTGGTCACAGGGAGACATATAATTTCCAAATAAATTTATCTAATATAGATTGTATTGTAGATTGTTGTGTTTTAATCCATTAGTGTTTTATTTAATTGTGTACTACTCTGTGTACATCGAAATATATGTATTAACCAAATGGTTCTATTTAGTAAATCAGAAAACCTGTATCTTCATGTTACAAGTAGACTAAAAATCTCGTACATTAGGCTATAGTTACCGTATATATATAGAACTTTGTGTATACCTGAATGTTAGCTCCAGTGACGTCACGGATTTCCTTGATTTTGGATCCGCCTTTACCAATAAGCGAGCCGCATTGCGAAGCGGGTACGATAAGCCGCAATGTGATAGGCGCACGCGACCCGCCACCACCGCCTTCATTGAATTGTGAGCACCACTGCACATAAACATAAAGCTCATTATACATAACACGTGTTTATTACATCACACATTAGGGCTAATAGTCGTTTAATTATTTCAAAGTTAGGGAGTTTCCATCAATAAGATTTTTGTGCAATATTTTTTAACACAAACATACTTTACCTCTTCAAACTTTTTGCAGATGAGGGTAAATGCTTTAAATATGGCGCTTGTGGTGCCTGTAACAGTAACAATCCGTTCCGGACATGATCCATCTGATATGTTGATTTTGGCTCCAGACTGAAATTAGACAAAATATTCAAATGAGAAAAATATAAGCATAAAACTTAATTGTTATTTGAAAAGAAATGTACTCACTTCTTCTCGGAATCTCTTGACGATTTCTCCCTTTTTGCCAATAATACTGCCAACCTCCTACAAGACAAAAGAGAACAATTTTTAAACGTATTTACGAATGAGTAATATTGCATTACTGAAAAACACAATACTAGAGCGAGAATTTTGGTATTATTTATTCAGCTGGCTTAGATTTCAAATCCACAGGTTCTAACTAACAATAGCTCGAGCTAAACAGGTCTTCATTAATAGACGCTACAGAGATCAGCGAAGACAGTTTTATTAGCTGAATTGTGGACATCAGTCAGTTCCTGGCAACATATCTAGCTGACTCCTGCAGTATGCGAGCAATGTGCGAACGTATGTCTGCGCGTCAAAGTCGTACATCTTAAGATACAAATAGCAAATGAAAATCGACGACACAAAACGCAACTGCACAAGAGTTCAAAGAACTGTGTTCAGAAATAACTACATTAATTACAAAATAATTTGATAGGCAAACAACAGGTACAAATTACAACTAACTAACTATCAAATGTTACTTAAAAATATATAACATGGATTGACAGTTAATAGAATATTGCAAATCCACAGTATGAATTGATATCAAATAGCAACTTATATGTCAATAACAAAAGTAAGAAATCTTTGACGAACCAAACAAGTGGCAACAACTGGCTCAGTGCCAAAAATCCTTTATATTGGATTACAGCCAATTAAAAGTAATATCTAATACTATATTGGTAAGTTCTAACATCAATAAATCTTAGTACAACTAAGAAATCTATTTACACGGACTGAAGCTTAATTTGTGATGGTAATAAATTTACAGTAAATTATAACAAATGTTCTGTTAAACAAGTCTGTATGCTAAATAAAAAAAGTAATAGAATACACTTATATCAATTAAAGAGGTAGTCACTGAATTTTTTTTTTTGAGTTTTTTTATCTTGTAAGAACTAATGATTAAAGTTGGTATTTTTCTGTTTAAGTAGCATAAAACAATTATAGATAATGTGAAGTAAATGAAGTGTTGTTTACGTAAAATCGATGCTAATATATACAAGAGATATCATTGTTGTTTTATTTTTACCACTGACATTCCCAACTTTTCATTGTTTTATATATAAGAGGTTTAACTTAACTGTGTGTCCTGTTATTAGCTTGTATTGGTGCAATTTTAATAAACTGTTTAGTCTCAATTTTAGATCTCTCTTAAATTTGATCTATGTTCACTTTTCTGTTATATGTACTTGTGTATTTATTTTTGGTTTCCAATATGTATGACAAGATTCTTCTTAATATAAAACACATATTAAGTTCTTATATAGCACAAAGCATTTGATAACAATTATCATATGCAATATTATACTCCATTAGAATAATTACTGATAACATCACACACATGTTTATAATTCAAACCAAATATAGTAGTTTCTATTACCTATTTGTACACACTTCAAACTTATTGGGGACTTGCAACATACATTTTTCATCCAATCACTAATGTTAGCGGAATAATAGGTATTAAAGACATGCAAACAATGATGATACAAAGGATTGAAAGAGATTGCCATAAAATTATTAAGGGGTAAAGTTCTTGAATAAATATGGCAATTTTAACATAAAATTTGAACACATGATTTCTTACCTTCCCCTGCATAATCAGTCTGATAGTGAGGGTGACTTTTGAGTCTTCATCATGAAGATGTGCAGGGACTTTCTCCAGATCCATGCTGGAGGAAGTATCCGTAGTGTCTCGTGGAATTTTGGCTTCGTACAGGGCTACGTGTGGGCGGGGGACACTCCACTCAATCTAATGGCTGGGACTCTGGGGCTCTTGGCACGCACTGCAGGCAGGGTAAGCTGGAAAACAGGCGCACATCTCAAAAGGAAAATTCACAGGTGACGAGCGTTCTAAAGGTTGAGGGTATGTGCACTCTTATTGTTTCAAAGCAAAGCTAGATAGTAAATAACAAATGTTATTTATTTACAGTGGTGGTCGGCGAGAAGCGCAACTGAATGAGGGCATCTAATGAGGATCTAAACACTATTTAGATCTAAGTGACAGCAAGTACAACCGGATTTTGCGGTTGCAACGCGAGCCGTCGCGGTCTGGCTCTGGGAGTTAGGAACCGTTACTTGAACTCGGATACTGGTTCGCGACATAACCTTAGCGTTGCGCCTCATGGCTAGCCGACCGGGTTATCGATCCCGACAGCCCAAACATTTTTTTTTTGTGAAAGCGAAACATCTTACCTCGTAATTTATTTCGATGTTTAACAATAACATAACAAATCGTAATACTAATACTATCACCAGATTGTGTATAAAATCACACTTATCACAATTTATTTCAATCACAAAATATTACAAAACTAACAATTATAAATTATCCGACGCAGGTGACGCGTCGGAGTGAAGTTTGTCTGTATAGAAAATTGAAATGGCTGACGTCTAATGTCACAGTGTCAATTGACAATTGAGAGATGTCAACCTTGTCGTTGTCACATTAAATTCGACTTATTGTTAGTTAAGTAGTTAGATTCCTTATTAGTTTATTACCAGTGCTTATTACCAAATTACATGATTACATTTTAATTTGATAAAAATTCTTAAATTATTTATATTTATACTGTATGTCAGTCTGTACATTATAAACATTCGTTATAAGGTACACACGTTGTTAACAAATGTTTACTGTGTTTATTGTAGATGCATATACTATATAAATTGGCTTATTAATATATTATTATGAATATATTTTCATTTTAAGTTTATATCTCTGCTATCAAAGTTACTAAGTAGGCATGTATGCTCCGATGTATTATAATAAGTTCCGCTGAATTACTATATAGAATATGTATTCCATAATTTTAATATTATCCGTTTATAATAAATTAAACATGATTTTTCATTGAAATTAATGAATGTAGAAGTGTTAAATAAATTTATTAAGAGGGTTCTTAAAAGTATTTAAATATTTTTGTCCCCTGGCATTACGTGCGATTTAAATTTCAAACCTATTTTTCACGAATTCATTAAAGTAAGCCCTAATGACACTTCGCACTGAGGTCCGACGGTCGCATCGCTAGGCGTCACATGTTATGTGGGGATTTCGTTGTAAATAAATTGTTGTCCATTTTAACCGTTGTCACAGGCTTATGACATTTGGTATATAGGTATTTTCACCAGGGTTAGAGTTAGGTAAAATATTCTTAATCTGTGTTATAGGTGAAGTGTATTTTTAAGTAGATAATAAAAGCAATAATAGATTATAGAAGTGTAAATATATTGATGAATTAAATGGAAAACAATATCGACGTTTCAAATACGTGCAAACATAATTTTTGCAAAGATATGGCTATTTTTATAAATTTATTTGAACTCCACTGGGAGACATCGTTAGGTACACTTCGCCTGTGATCCTACAGCGTACAAACAAGAAATGAAGCAGTCCATTAGTGTGGAGATCCTCGCTTGAAAACACCCTGCATTTTTAACAAATATTTACAGCGCCGACTTTTGCAATGTTAGGTATAACAAACCATACGACTGTTCGATGTTCAGAAGTTCACTAATAAAACATTGCCTCTATCTTTAATACTAAAAAGTCTGAACAATTTAAGATATTTCCTGTCTTTACACTTTCTTAAGTAATCAAAGTTAATAATCCTTTAATAAAAGGAGCTCACTCATAAAATTAGGTCAGAGGATTTTGTGGATGTACCAACTGTGGCGTTATGCAAATAACAAATGTAAAAAGATGATTTATACACAAAAAAATAATCTTTAATTTTCTGCTCAAACCTCTCGGGATTCGGTAAAGCGGTTTTATAAGGTTGAATATTTTTTTATTCAAATCAAAACAAAGAAACTAGCTCGTTTTCGAAAAAAATGGATGGCATGCTGTTGTGAATGCAATTATAAAATTTTTATTACGTGATCATATCCTTAGTTTAGCTTCGCGAATGATGTTTATTTTAAGCACGATATAAGTCCGCGTCTGCTGCGAAGCGCAACAAACGTTTGGCCATAGTTAATATCTAAAATTTAAATATACTGTCTGTACTTTACGCTAGTAGTACAGATTAAAAAAAACACTAACGGTTTAAAACGCGATATATATTAGTTAAACTTATTTGAGAATGATTTTAACTACGACTTGAAGTTTCTGATGCTTAGCAGCAGCCGTGTTCACAAAGGGGAACCACAGGCGCTTTAAACCCTTAAAGTGTTTTATATAAATATAATTCGCGTTTGAACCCGTCTAAGACAGTTATGTCTCAGTTTCAACTGGTTTACGTGCAAAGCAGATATTCTAGTCTATTTCGTAAACTCATTATTCATTGGTATTCCAATTACATAGTGCGACATGCATGCACATTCTATATTGTAGCACATCTAATTCTATTAATAAACGAGAATAGTAAGGTAGAAAGCCGCATATAGCGGGCAGGAATGTGTTATCTGTATTGAGCTGTGTTTAACTGCTCACACAGATTCCTGTGGCTTGCACAATGTGTTATATCATGTGTGTCTTGGCATTTAACTTGCGACTGATGCGCGACAGTTGTACTCATGAGTCAGCACATTATGCACTGCATCATCAGAAGTCCTCAAACACGAAACGCTTAGTGCACCTCCAAGGCTCTTTATCTCTCAGTAGATTCTATTTGGCTTTGAGATAAAACGTTGGCTGTATACATCTATATATGATTGAATCAAGTCGATTTGTAAAAAAATATGGTTTCTAAATAATAAATATTATCATATTTAATAGTAATTCGTTTTTAAGGTTTTTCACTTAATGCACGGGGATTGTAAAAACTATTTATTACAGCTATATTATTTATAACATCCTACTAAACAAAAAATATTAGAGAAAGAAGTTACGTACTGACTTAAATGAAAGGCGGCCTTATCGGTAAGCGGCGATATTTTTCAGGCCTGAAGTACGGGAGAAAAGAAATAGAAAAATACATATTAACGACATTGTACGTGGTTTGATTTTCATGAAAAAGTATAGGCGTGACCTTGTAAACTTATTTATAGATAAATGATTAATTAATTTTATTTAAAATTTAAAGTTAAATTAAATAACATCATAGTGCCATCTGTTCCTTTATTAATTATATTACAGGATAAAATATACTTTTATTAATTACAGACACAATTATACTCATTCGAAAGACCTCTTTGTTGATCCAGAAATCAATTTCACTTCTGTAGTACATCTTAATATAATTTATCTAAGTCCCTTTACAACGCAGCCTATATACAAAATAAGAAACAATATAAACGTCGCAGTAATAGAATTTCCAATAATAATTAATTGTAAGAAGGGAAACCCGCTGAATGCTTAAACTGATTACGAAGCTACTTCACAATGATGTTTTACTAAGCATCACATAATAACGTGGGTAGGAATATTATGTATCTAATAACAGTTATAATGACAACGATCTGTGTATTGTACTATGGGTAAGATCCCCTTTAATTAAACTTTGAATCTTAGAAGTCGTGACAGAGTATTAAAAGTATGTTAATTTAAAAATTATAATTAAAATTCGTATTGTGCTTGAATTATTGTTTGGTTTCAGTGTTTTTGTTCATTAGAAACCTTCCGATGATGAAGGGTGTTATACTCGTAGAAACAGTAAAATTGTATTCCCCACTGCGTCAGAAAACAATATTACTTCTCACAAATTGGAATTGATCGATCGGATTTCTCTATATATATAATTAAAACGGAATAACGATAAGGCCTATTGGATTTTACACTCAATACATTAAGTCACTTTATTTTCGAGCTTTGACTAATGACGGTTCTTTGGAATTGCGAAATGAAAGTGTGTTTTATTGTTGTGTTTACTGGGTTTCAAGAAAATCATTTCCCTCTTCCTGTATGTGAAGCAGTGAGCAGGCACAGTTCTGTGTCTGTACCTCAAATCGTTTTTGTACAATATTTTTATTTTTTTCCAGAATTCAAACGCAGGGAATACTATTATCCGTTCTGCCATGTAGTAACTTACGTATATAATATTATATAGGTGTTCAGTTTAGGAAATCTTAAGCAAATGCTAAAAATACTTCCAACTGTATTTAATTCAATTTAAATGATATTGTTGTTTCTACCATGTCTCGCTTTTTCATACCCATTATGTCCTCGACAATATTATCCAATCCATTATTCTTAGGACTGTTTCCCATTCGTCATTTTCCTCATCTTTTATGACCCCACAGATAAGTTCTTATTACTTATCTTTTTATAGATATTAATTTAGATTTTACGAGTATAAATGACGTTAAAAACGATTTCTCGGAAATTATTTTTTGACATTAAATAATAATACCTTTTTTATTACTACTTTTAAATTTTCTTTATAATCATTTTATTATCACGCACTCTATGTTTTCAGATTCTAATAGTTAAAACGTAAAATTATGACAGTAATGCTAGTATGCAGATCGAGTGAAATGGAGTTATACGGCTTCTAAAGAGGCTTAAATTATGCTGGACGGGTCGAACCTAGGAATTAGGTCTGTACCTAGTTATTATGTTCCATATTATGACTGTTATTGGACGAACAATTAACATGGTTTATATTATATACTATTAGAGAATGTGAACAGTGAAAGAAGAAAATATATATATATATAGCGTCAATTACTCTTATCAATATTAGGTATAAGTTTAGAAATAGAAAAATAGTCACATATATAATAAAAATA